CTTCTGGAGTCTTTGATGCAGTTGAAGAATAGATAGATAGTTATAGTTGTTTTCCTTTGTTATGATAAAAGATAAAATAGATATAAATATTGTAACTGTAATTCTTGCTTGATAACTGTTTTGTTATATGTAATTTTGCTATGTTAAGTTAAAGCCTTCTTTTTTTATTTAAACAGAAAAAGGGGAAATGATGGAGGAAGGACATTGGTTAATTATAATAAAGAAACTGCCTTGGCCCATTTTATTGGTTAGAACATAGGTGTGTGGAGTAAACAGAAGAGAATGCTGGGAGAAAGAAGCTTAGTCGAGGAGTCACCATGATTCTCCCATGCCAGGCAGACGCAGGTTAAGACCTTCCCTGGTAAGCCAGCTCGTGGGCTACACAGATTATTAGAAATGGGTAAGATTAATATGTAAGAGCTAGCCAATAAGAGGCTACAGATAACGGGCCAGGCAGTGTTTAAAAGAATACAGTTTCCATGTAATCATTTCAGGTAAAGCTAGCCGTGTGGGCGGCTGGATGCCAGGAATGTAGCCCCGCCACTTCTTTCAACAGGTTAATAGATAATCATCTATAATAGTCAAGTTTGTATCCATGATAGATTTTCTAAATATATAGAGATATATTTAACTGAAATATATCTCTCTATATTTAATATGTCTTGCTTATAATTCTTGCTTGATACCTGTCTTGTTATATGTAATTTTACTATTTTCAAGTTAAAACCTACTTTTTTATTTGGACAGAAAAGGAGAAATGATGTGCAAAGTCCTTCTGTATATGTGTTGCTTTTATCGGTTAATGAATAAAGAAGCTGCTTTAGGCTGTAATAAGGCAAAATAGAGCAAAGCGGGAACAACTTAACTGAATGGTGGGAGAAAAGGCAGAGTCAAGACAGAACCCATGTTTGCCACTGGGGACAAACATGCTCTAACCTTGCTGTTAAGTCACAAGCCTCATAGTAATATAGAAATAATAGAAATGGATTAACCAAAGATAAGAGAGCAATACACTTAAATGACTGGCCAAGTGACAATTTTCTGTGTGATTACTTCAGGTCTGAGCTGCAGGGAACGATCAAGCAGTCTCTGCCTATAGTACACTAAGACTCTTCCTATTTCAGGGTTTGACTTTCTTGCTGAGGGGGAAAAATCATCAGTCAATGAAGACCACATGATACAGTGCTGAACTGCCCAGCAAGATATGCCTTCAGGTGCAATAGTGGCATGACTGCTATAAAGGTAACCAACTGCTTTTTTTTTTTTTTTTTTTTTTTTTTTTTTTTTTTTTTTTCTGCTACCCAAGAGGTAATTCATGCCTGGTACTATAAACTTGATTAAAAGTTTATAACTTGAGTATAGAGACCTAATACTGATTTTTGCTAAACATACATGTTAAATTACCTTCTAACTATTTGTTCATATCAATAAATAAGTGCTGCTCTCAACATAGGTCAAAGTTTCTTTTTGTAGTAGGCAGCAGTCAGTACACACCAGTTAAATACCAAGAAAAAGTGACTGTTGAGGGTGCAGCCCTAAATGAAACACTATCAAGTCTAAAAGGACTCAGAGAACATTGTGGAAAAGAAAGCACATAGAAGGTATAAGAGCTGGAAACATGGTAGTTACACTCAGGAACTCACTGTAGCTATGATTACCTCCACAAGGGGAGACAATTGCTGGCTACTGGAAGAGGATGTTCATTTTTCTTTCAGGAGTGTAGTCACTGACAGGTTGTTCATGAGCATGTAGGCAATATTAATTTGTCTAAGAGGATTACGTTTTTGAAAAGAGAAACTATAAGTCAAAATGGACATATTCTTGAGTAGATTATGGATAGAGATGGTGTAGGGAAACAAGAGATGGAAATGATCAAGATAAATTGAACACACACACACAACTGTCAAAGGATGAATCAATAGAGACCTTTTTTTTTTTTTTAAAGAAGTAACTATTGCAATCTAGGCCCCTGTCTGGAATAAGGATTTAGAAGTCAATGTCTCTTAGTAAACTATAAATTGTCACTTAGCAAGATCAAAGACATAACAGGTAAGAGTGCTGTCAGAAAGCAAATTATAGAAGCAAGAATAAAGATAACACTGTCCAAAGCTAGTACAAAAAAAAAAAAAAAACTTCTTTGTAGTTCCATTTAGATGTTCAGGCTTTGGCTTTCTTTTCTAAGTATGAGTTTCTGGTATGAAGTACAATGGTCCCAGTTAGAAGATGACTTGTGTGGGTCCCTGCAAATGTTTACTGTTGGTCAAGAAATGATCAATGAGAAGCAGGAAGGAAATCTAATTCAACAAGACCTAGTTAGTTAGTACTGGTTCAAATATCTAGAGTGTGATATTGAACAGTTTGTTTTAGACATATTTAAGTAAAGTCTTGAAAAAAAAATCTTCCTGCTTTCATCATCTCTGGCCCATAGATATTTGTTGTTGTTGTTTTTTTCTCAAGCAAAGGCTGAGTTTCTAACACCCTCCCCCTCAAATGCCATCATCTCAGTGGTCTGAGATCAGACTTATTTATCAGTCTAGACCATCTGGAAAAAGGTAAAAAAAGAAGAGTCTTGGCATCTACTTTTCTCTCTTTTATTTCTGATAACAATACAGAATTGTGATACATTTAAATAAATTAACACTTTATAGAACTGAGATATTTTACTACGTAATTATGAAGGTTAATACTAACCTGAAAAACGCTGATTTTATTTCTCATAGCATATGACAGAAGTCCCACATTTCACTAACAAATAAAATATATAACCCGTGTAATAGCATTGGGCATTACTTCCCCTAATTGGATAAACCATCAGTGAAGCAACTGCACTGAGAAATGGGTTTTGCAGATATATTAATGGAATTTGTACTGAGTGTTTTGCCCATTATTGCCACTTAAAGGAAATGATTAGCTGTTATAGTTACTATTATAGTTAAAATGTGTGAAAATAAATAATTATCAACTACCTGAAAAATAGGTAGAGAATGACTTAGGGGTAATAACATCATCATCAGGAAAGAAGCTATAACATCACCTCAAAAAAAATAGAAGAATTACTTAAAAGCTAGAACATCACCTTCAGGAAACAATTTGCCAAAGTTACAGAAGAATCACAGTCATGATATAACTAATAAATATATTTTGCCTTATATAAACACATTGCTCAATAGAATTAGGTTATTAGACATATTTCTGTGACAGGCACTGAGCTAATTTCTGAGTTTTGAAATAAGTTATCTCTCAGTCTCTGTGAGCTACAGGTAGATGAGAAATATAAGGAAATATTTATTTAGTGTGATATTACTAACAGAAGGCTATACTCTGAGTTATTTCAGCCACTTCATTACCCTTAAGAATAATAGCACAAGTCGTTGAGCTAGTTAGACCTGTATGGTTGGGAAAATTCTCAAAGTTAGTGAGGTGAATAAACTTTCGTGGTTGAAAATTATGGAATTGTGGCCTTGTTTTATCAAAATATCATGCTGTTATTATTATATGGCTAGTCTATATTGATCTATGAGTAAATTGTCCTCTGTTTAATAATGTAACTGTTATCTATGATTTCTGTTTTGTATACTTTCCGGAGAACTCTTTTAAAGGATTTTTAAAATTTTGAAAATTGCATCTAATAACAATTGTTATTAAAATTTTCCCTTAATTTTTGCCAGCAAAATATATGTTTATGATTATGTTGATGGGATGAGAGTTTACAGGATACATACCAAGACTCTAGACCATTGGTTCTAAACCTTCCCAATGCTATCACCTTTTAATATAGTTCCTTATGTTGTGGTGATCTCCAACCATAAAATTATTTTGTTGCTACTTCATAACTGTAATTTTGCTACTATTATAAACTGACATGTAAATATTTGTGTTTTCTGATGGACTTTGTGACCCCTGTGAAAGCGTCCCAATCTACAGTTTGGAAAGCTAGACTAAAATGAAATGCTTGAACCACCAAGTTCACTTGCACTAGACAGTAAAGTCCTCCTGTGAAAGATTCTAAAAAGGCTGTCAGGCTCAACCCAACAACATGTACTACAATGAAGACAAATTCTCTGTGGCAACCTTACAAAGAGAAATCATGTAACCTGGCCACTGATAGAAAAGTCAATATGTTAAGTTCTGCAACAAGAAGGAAAATGAGAATATACGTTGCACCAACAAGAGACATGGTGCTGCTCCAAGTACTTGGAATGACTGACAGGCAGAGACAACAACTGTAAGGCAAGAACTGAAGCTATTATTACAACTGCAAAAGATAATTTCATTGTTACAGCACTTTCTAAGGTAACTGCTTGGAATCAGTACAGTATAGGAATTCTTTATCCCTGAAAGCATTGAACTATAAACACTAAGACAAAATCATTTATCTGAAATGTCGGTTAGAAAGATTTTCCCCATATTTTATTCCAAGATTATTTACACTTTGAATGTATAATTCTAACTTAGAATAGTTAACATTTTGTAAACGAACAGTAGTATCACCCCTTGATTAAATTCTCATCTTTGTTATGAATTTGAGTAGGCATTAGGTCATCATATTTAATCTGTAAACATACTTTAAATTTTAAGATATAAAGGTAGGCAATCACCATTTCTGTTTATATAAGTAGTTTTTAGAAGTACTGTGTCGGAAATAATTCATAAAGTTTTGCTTCGTCTTTGTGTTTTTACTCAGTTTAATGTTTTTTTTTTTTTTTCTGTGTGGAAGTAGGAAAGAAGAATGGGAGAAACATGGAGAAGGAAAGAGAAAATTTCCCTCCCATAAAATCAAGTCCTATTTTTTAAAATTCTCAAGTATGTAAACAAGTTAAATCAGAATAGTTAAAATGTGTAGTAATAGTCTCAACCTTGGGACATTATAAAGTGCAATTGCTGTTTCTTACAGTGAACAGAGGTCTGCTTTCCTATAGAGTCTACCCCCTATATTAAAGGGCTCACCTCTGAAGTGCTTTCTTGGGGATGTTTTAAAAACTAATATTTTTAAATAATAATTTTAATATAATTTTATAATAATTTTAATAATAAAAATAATTAAAAATAATAATTTTAAATACAGCAGAAAAACTTCCAGAACAATGGACCCAATTAATCTGAGAACAATGATCCAAAGTAATGTTCTGTATTCAAATATGCATGCAATCATTATAATATTTATTGCTTTCAAATATCAAAATAGAAAATGGATCTATATCTCTGTCTTAGACTTTGGTTGTCAAATGTATCCTTGAGCCAAACACAATGACTACATATTCAATTTTATATGAAAAGATGGAATTTAGTTGCAATGTGCGGTTGCCCTCAAATAATCCAGCTTTCATGAGTAAAGAATGCAATGAATGTTGTTCTGGTAAATATTTCTTTCCTTACCAATAGAGTTAAGTGTTATGAGATTTGTTAATTTTGGTTATGCAAATACTCTTCCTCAAGACTGTATATGAACAAAGGTACACTGCATTTTAACTTAAGTTTAAAGACCACAACAAGAATGTCCAATAACTCTAAATTTATTTCATATGTTAACCATTTTCTATATTTAACAATGCCATATACATGCTTTCAATTTTAAGAGATAATATTCAAATATTTCTGGATGCTTACTCCTAATGAGGTAGGGTAAGACAAAAATAATGGAGAAATGTTAAACATTTTTTCCCCCACAAGAACGCCAGCAGTCTGGATAGTGAGGTCAATTATTTAGCCATTACAATATAGTCCTGGCTGAATGTCAACATGAAAGGAAGAGTGACTTTAAAAAGAAAAAAAAAAGAAAACTAAAAGAAGACATCATAGAAGGGTGAGAATAGACCTCAGTGATCACAGAGATTTGCACATTAGAAAACCAGAATGAAGAAAGCCAGAGTGATACATTATGTTCTTAGGTTGCAAGGCCACAGTGCACTGGATGTACCAGTTTAGTCATGGAGCAAAGTTCTATCCAGTATGGATAGAGTTCTAGAGATTCTGAACACAGGACCATTTTCCTCTTTGTGGTAGTTAGATGAAGTGAAAGCATGACAAGGAAATACAAAGTTTGGCATTAGTTAGTAGAGCCAAGCCTGTTGTGATGGTGATAAAGAAATGAAGAGCCTGGGTTTTATGACTGGACAAAGTATTTTCTTCATAATGAAAAATGGAAAAAAGCACAAGATGTAGATGAACAGAGATGGCAAGGAATGAACATATTTTTTTTAAAAAAAACGAAACACTGCAATACAACAAAGAACCCAAACCAGTATAAGCAAAGAAAACAAATACAAAGTAGACCAGTTGGGTCTTGATGTCAAGAACATTATCACAGAGAATAGCAGAAATAAAAAGGATTGGGGAATATAACAGTGTTGGGAGGAAATTATTTTAATTTAGTTTCTCTCTCTCTCTCTGTCTATATATATATATATATATATATGTGTGTGTGTGTGTGTGTGTGTGTGTGTGCGTGTATGGAAGAAATGAGTAATTTCTAGATTTACTGATGACATTATTTAAGCATGCTTTACTAAGAAATATGTAACAGCTCTGCATAGATTACTAATTGTTACCTGCTTTCTCAAAGAATGCCAGAGAAGCAACCCTTAAGTTTTTTTCTTAAGTAGACATGAAGGAAAATGGCAGAGCCAACCAGTCTGTGTGCTTAAAACTAGGTACTGATTGTTCTGAATACCCTGTAATTGATATCTGAGAGTCTGGTTTTAAAGCTGCATGCAAATATACTTTGAAAATACATCTGAAATTTGTGTGATAAAATCAAAGAACTTTCATTTTGGATAATCTTAACTCTACACTTACTACAAATTAATATTTATAATGTAGTGCAGGAAATTACACTAATTCTAAGTTGTTTGATCTACATAATGCCTGAGATATGAATCAGGTGTCTTAAAACCTAAATTGGCAGTATCTCTTAGAGCAATTAAACAAGCATGCCTCTTGCAAAACAGAATGACCTTGCTCAGGAACAAGGATGGTCATGCTCTGGTTGAAGTTGACAAAGACATAGATTTTTAAACTACTGATAACAGAAATTCTGTAATTTTTCGAATGATTCACTTAGAATTTACTAAAGTTGTAAAACAACATGGTGCCTGATTAGAACCCATGGCAGGAAAATGGTATGGTACTAATTAAATCCTGAAATTGTACTGAAGCTACCGGTTATATACAAAAATAATTCTCCATGAATTTATGAACACCAACTTTTCTTTGCCAACTTTTACCTAAATCTGTAATTTTTGTTTACATAAGAAAATACTAAGTATTCTGAATTATTCACATTCAATGTAACTTTGGTAAAATATATTCTATATTTTAATTTTCTGGAAATTGTCTACTTATAGACACCATACATCTATAATCATTCTTCAATAGAAGGAATATTTTATTGTGCTAATTTGTTTTACTAATTCTCCTAGGTATCATTTTAGACTACTCAAGCAAATACTACTTTTAGAAATGATTAGAAAACCATGGGTCCCTATACTTGTTGAACTGAATAACTTGGCAGTAAAATTCAGTTAAGGCTCTTGGCATTGGTGACACCTCTTCCCACTCTGACTTGCTGCTGTGGTAAACTTGCACTTCATCTGTGATCTCATCTGGTGCATAATCTCCACCTAATATGTAAATCTTATCCTCAATCCCTATTGCACCTGCATTAAAGCCTGAACATTCAAAAGAGCCCTCTCCTTTCCAAACACAAGTATCTGGACAAAAACTGTATACTTTATAGGTGGAAAGGTCACATATATACAGGGTGCAGTTTACTGAGACAGCTTTAATTAAAGTAGCATGAAAGAACTGTCCAAACTCTGCTACTAGTTCAGACCACTGGTCAGTTGTAGCATTGTATTTAAAAAAACAATCAAGTGATGGGTTAAAAGCATCTGCAATCTCTACCTCGGATCCAAGAACATAAATGACATTCTGGCATGCACTGGCTTCTGGGTAATAGATACCTCTTGGTAAAGGGCTAACTGATATCCATTCTTTGGATAGTGGATCAAAAGATTCAACATCTAAAAGACTCTTAATGTCCCGGGATCCTCTAGTCTTTCCACCTATAACAAATAATCGACTAACAGCCATGACTGATGTATGCATGGTTCTTGGAGTTTTCATGGTTGAAACCAAGAAAAACTCATTTTTGACTGGACAGTAGCACCAGGTCTGGTCAGTGGCATCATGATAAGACTCAGCAATATGAAGTCGAATCTTCCTACAGCACTTCCCTTTGCAGCCACCCATCAAGAATATTTTCTCTCCATAGCTAGACAGACTAGATCCTGGCAAATCAATCAGATGTGATTGTGGTAGTATTTTCCATGAGTCGATTTTAATGTTATAGCAAAATGTATGTTGATTTTCTCCATTTTCCTCAGTTTTATGGATGAATATATATTTTTCAGTTGTGGATGGTCGAGCATCAGCGAAGAGGCCACTAGAAACTTGCACACACTTAATGGCATCCACGATTATGTCAAAACAGCTTGTGCTTTTGAGTAAACACTCCTCATTGAGCAGATAGTCTTGAAGTGTGTCCTCGGATAACTGATGTAGCCTTACTTTTGTAATCAAGTGAGGCAGGTGCTTTCGCCTGGACTCTAAGTTGTATTTGATCCATGTAATGACAACCTTCAAGACCATTCCTTCCTCTGGCACATTTAACTCATCTGACTCCAGACACTTCTGCAGCACTCCAAAATTCATCTCTAAAAACTCTCTGGATTTAAATAACAAATGAAAGTGATGCTGTACAAAGCATAAAACCTGATTAAACAAATGTGTAGAGCCATAGCTGTCTGAGAGAGATAACAAGTGCAAACAATTGACGAGACTGATGCTTTTTATTAAAAAGTCACTGCAAGCTTTTGACAAAAAGGGAACCTGAAGAAAGGATGATAACTGAAAAAACATTTCTACATTATCATCTGTTATTCTTGCTTTTCCAGTATAGGCATAGTCAAGAAATGCCTTTATTGCTTTGGAGGACAAGTTAGTAATGGTAACACATCCATCATCTCTTTCTTTCATCTTTACTTCAAACATAGCCCTGAAAAAATAAAGAACAAAGAAGCACTAGTGTTTTAGTCCACAATTATTAACAATATTACCATACAGATTCTTCTTTACCCTTTAGTTAATTTAAAATATGTTCATGAAATCACAATCAATGGCATCCTAATGAACTATTTTAGCATTTAAAATAATTATATGCCATAATACACATCTGACATTATATAACCTTCATATTAAAAGCTTTACAATGTAGCTTAGACACAGTAAAAAATGAAAAAAAAAGGCTATAAAGTGGTTCAAATTTTTTGCATTGGTGAATTCTATAAAACTCAATTTTCTTCTGTGGCAAATTAATTACTATTGTGGTAATAACTAAAATTACATTTTTCATCATAATTAAAGCTTATTTTATTTTTTATTGTTTTTATTGAGCTATATATTTTTTTCTGCTCCTCTCCCTTTCTCTCCACTCTCCTTCTACCCTCTCTCATAATCCCCATGCTCCCAATTAACTCAGAAGAGCTTGTCTTTTTCTATTTCCCATGTAGATTAGACCCATGTATGTCTCTCTTAGGGTTCTTGTCTAGATTCTCTGGGATTATGAACTGTAGGCTGGTTTTTTGAAGGCGTAAATCACGAACAATGCCACACCAGTTTGGAGTTATGATTAATAGGGTGGTATTTATTTAAAGGGGAAAAAACTTACAGATCACCGTCCCAGACAACAGCCCTCTGCGCAACCAGGAAGGGAGTCCAGTCACCGGTGGAGCAGGAAGTGAAGAGAGCGAGCGAGAGCGAGCGGAGGAAGTAGCCGTTTTTTTAAAGGGAGAGAAACCACGCCCCAATGGGCTGGTATCTCAGCAGCTATTGGTTGGAGGGGCGGAAGGACCTCCTGCAACAGTTTTTCTTTGCTTTATGTAGAAAAGCCACTTATGAGTGAGTACATATGATATCTGTCTTACTGGGTCTGGGTTGCCCCACTCAATATGATGTTTTCTAGATCCATGAATTTGCCCACAGATTTCAAGGTATCATAATTTTATCTATTGTGCAGTACTCAACTGTGTAAATGTACCACATTTTCCTTATCCATTCTTTGGTCGAAGGGCATTTAGGTTGTTTCTAGATTCTGGATATGACAAATAATGGTGCCATGAACATAGTTGAGCACATGTCTTTGGGTATGATTGAGCATCCTTTGGGTATATACCTAAAAGTGGTACTGCTGGGTCTTGAGGTAGGTTGTTTCCTAGTATTCTGAGAAATTGCCATACTGGTGTTCAAAGGGGCTGTATCAGTTTACACACTCGTACCAGCAATGAAGGAGTGTTCCTTTCACCCCACACTCTCTCCAGCATAAGTTGTCACCAGTGTTTTTTATCTTAGCCTTTCAGACAGGTGTAAAATGGCAGCTCAGAGTTGTTTTAATTTGCATTTTTTAATGGCTAAGGATGTTGAACATTTTTTAAAGTGTCTTTTAGTCATTTTTTGATTTCTTTGTTGAGTGTTCTCTCTTTAGGTCTGTACCCCATTTTTATAGGATTATTTGTTCTTTTGAATACCAATTTCTTGAGTTCTTTGTATGTTTTGGAGATCAGCTCTCTGTCTGATGTGGGGCTGGTGAAGATCTTTCCCCATTCTGTATGCTGCCATTTTGTTGACTATTTCCTTTGCTTTAGAGAAGATTCTCAGTTTCAGGAGATCCCATTTCCTAATTGTTTCTCTCACTGTCTGTGCTATTGGGGTTCTATTTAGGAAGTAGTCTCGTGTGCCAACACATTCAAGTGTATTTGCCACTTTCTTTTCTATGAGGTTCAGTGTGGTTGGCTTTATGTTCAGGTCTTTGATCCATTTGGACTTGACTCTTGGGTATGGTGATAAATACGCAACAATTTTTATTCTTCTACATGTTGATATCCAGTTATTCCAGGACCATTTGTTGAATATGCTTCCTTTTCTACATTTTATATTTTTTGCTTCTTTGTCAAAAATCAGGTGTTCGTAGGTGTGTGGCTTGATATCTACGTCTTCAATTCAGTTCCACTGGTCCTCCTGTCTGTTTTTATACCAACACTATGTTGTTTTCAGTACTGTATTCTATAATAGAGTTTGAAGTAAGGGATTGTGATGCCTCCAGAAATTCCTTTATTGTATAGGACTGTTGTGGCTATCCTGGATATTTTGCTTTTTCATATGAAGTTGAGTATTGTTCTTTAGAGTTCTGTGAAATGCCAGAATTTTGCTGGCATTTTGCTGGGCATTGCATTGAATCTGGAGATTACTTTTGGTAAAAATTACCATTTTTACTATGTTAATTCTAACTATCCAAGAGCATGGGAGATCTTTCCACTTCTTGGTGTCTTCTTCAACGATTTAAAGTTGTAGTCATACAGGTCTTCTACTTGTTAAACAAATATTTTATGCGTTTGTGGCTATTGTGAAGTGTAGTATTTCTCTGATTTCGTTCTCAGGCCACTTATCATTTGTGTAAAGGAGGGCTACCTTTTTTTTTTTTTGAGTTAATCTTTTCTGCTAAATTACTGAAAGGTTTTATGAGTTGTAAAAGTTCTTTGGTAAAAATTTTGGGGTCACTTGTGTAAACTATCATATCAGCAAATGGTGAGAGTTGACTTCTTTTCTGATTTGTATCCCCTTAATCTCCTTTTGTTGTTTTATTGCTCTAGATACCTCAAGAACTATGTTGAATAGCTATGTAGAGTGAACAACCTTGTTTTCTTTCTGATTTCAGTGGGATTGCTTTGAGTTTCTCTCCATTTAGTTTGATGTTGGCTGTTGGATTGCTGTATAGTGCCTTTATTATGTTTAGGTATGTTCCTTGTATCCCTGCTTTCTCCAAGACCTATATCATGAAGAGATGTATTTTTTTCAAAGGCTTTTTCAGTATCTAATGCGATTACCATGGTTTTTTTTTTTTTTCCAGTTTGTTTATATGGTGAATTAAACTG